CCCCCCCCAACCCACTACCACCATCCCTCTTCCTTTCCCAGCAAGTCAAAAGCTTACAAGAGCAGGAGAGTCCATCAGCGTTGAGCTTGTGGTAGATCTTGCAGGAACACTGTGGGCCATACTGAGTGTCTTTACAATGGTGCTCGCAGCCACCGTTGAACTCTTTGCAGCTGTCTGTGCGAGTCGTGTTCAGGGAGTCTGAGGAGACCAGCAGATAACATGGGAGTTCATTTTTGCTTGTTTGAGACCTTTTAAGTCATATTACTTCTCTCTCTCTCTCCCCAAATATTTTTTTTTTAAAATAAACCCTCTTGAAATACATACCGTGTAATAAAAGGTGGGAAAACCCAGCATTTGAATTATAAGAAATTATAGCATTAGAAAAAAGCAATTAATAAAACTTCAAGACCTTTTACTTCACAAAAAGTCCGTAACCCCTTACAACATGTATCTCTGTAAAAGACAAAACAGAAGACACCAACAGTCTGCATCTGAATAGCAGACCTCAGACCTCCTTGACACAGTTACAAATCTGATGGAAACATGAAAGGTTAAGCTTATTCTCCACATAATGAAACCATTCAGAGGCTGGAGATCAAATCAAGTGCTCTCAAAATTGTAATTATAAATCTTTTACTCTCCTTTCAACTCAATTTAGATCATTAACTAGGCAAAGCCAGGCGACTGAGAAACAGCATTCCAGCAGAAAGACGGAGATACTCAGACATCGGTTCAAGGGCTCTGCCTGCAAAGTGACTTACCGTGAGAATAGTAGGGTGTAAATTCTAAGCAAATGAGAGCATTTGCTACACAGTTTGCTGTCCTCATCAGTAGTATAAATTCTATGTGAATGAGGGGCACAAGAGTTTGCTGACATCATCAATAGCACAAATCTTAAGCAAATGAGAGTATTCACTGCAAAGGTTGCTGACCTCATCAGATATGTAGTTTCTAAATTAAATGTGAGCACTCACTGCAGCAATGAAGTCCTAATCAGTAGTATAAATTTAAAGTAAATAAAAGCTCTCACTGAAGAGGGGTTTTTTTGTTTTGGGGGGGGGGGTTTGGTACGTGTTTCACAGCGCTCACAACTGCATAAGGTCATATGAGCGTATGGGAAACATTAAATATTTATAGTTGGTAAGAAATTTTGAACTTTGCCGAGGTTGAGGCCGATGCCTACACTTATCCATTTTAGACCATCAAGGGATCTTTAACATGCGCAACTTGCTCACGAGACCTCCGTGATTTTTCACCTATGTCAGAGAAGGCTAAATGTAGATCTTTCCTACTATTATATCAGGGGTGTGGCTGAAAGACAGCAGTAAGAAGGAGTCAAGGAGTCGCGGTAGAAAGGCTGCAGAAAGAGTCGGGAGCCCAGAGGAGGGGGTAAAGGAGGTGAGGGGGATGGGGGCAGAAAGTGGAGACAAAAGCAGAAGACAGAACATTGCTAGAGAGCAGGAAAGGAGGTGAAAGGAGACTATTTTTTAAGAAGAAAAATTTCCGTCGCTATCCGGATTCGGAGGCAGGACCTACAGAATGAGAGGTGAACACCTTAATCTCTAGACCACGAGACACCCCCCCCCACTTCACAGTTTGCTGTACTCATCAGTAGTATAAATTCTATGTGAATGAGAGCACTCACTACAAGTGTTTGCGGACATCATCAATAGCATAAATCTTAAGACTTAAGAAAATGACAGCATTCACTACAGAGTTTGCTGACCTCATCAGTAGTATAAATTCAAAGTAAATAAAAGCATTCACTGAAGAGTTTGCTGACCTCATCAGTAGTATAAATTCTAAGTAAATAAAAGCACTCACTGAAGAGTTTGCTGACCTCACCAGTTGTATAAATTTTAAGTAAATAAAAGCACTCACTGCACAGTTTGCTGTCCTCATCAGAGCCGTCAAGACAGTCCTGGTGCGAGTCACAGACCTGCTTGGGCTGGATACACTCCAGCTTGGACTCACAAAGCACGTTGGGCCAGGTGCAGTTCTTCACAAACGAGCCTGAGTACAACAAACAGCAGGAACACACTTCATGAATACATCATAAACTTTTTAAAGTTCTATTAACAGTCTTAAAGCACTTGCATCACAAATAGTTCATGTTAGTGCCAAAGATAAAAAGTGTTACTAGAGGGTAACATACACAAAAAAGGAGGAGAGTGTTTTTTTAAAGTAAGATTTGCACAGTACTTGCAATACAAATAGTTCCCAAAAATGTTGAAGATTAAAGGTGTTTCTAGAGATTAACAAATACCAAATAAAGGAGGAGAGATATGGACACACTATGACACACTTGTAACTGATAGCAAATCTTTTTTCGTCACCATCAACACTGTCTGGATCATTTAGGACATGGGCTATTTCATCCCAGACAAGATCAACTGAATTGGATACAATATCAAAGCAAAAAGATGGTGGAAAAGTGGTATCCCACTTATTTAGTTTAAGTAAGCATTTTATGGCACTTGAAACACAATAGGATGATATAAGTGACGAAGTTTGGAGGTGTTACAAGAGAGTAACAAATACAAAAAAGAAGGAGGGCAGATAAGGACGATAGATGTTTGTTAGGAAAGAAGAAGCATTCTGGTAGAGCAGAACTGAATTTTCCTCGTACATTTATCATTTGTAAGTAGTGCATATTCCAAACAGACAGCACTTTCTAATAGCACCATCACTCCTGTGCTTATGTCAGAGTATGGATTACAAATACAATAAATGACCTTACACACAACATATCAGCATGTGACAACACACTTCACACCATCATGTCATACACTTCATGTCATACACATTAGTGTATGACAACACACTACACACCAATGTGTTATAAAAATTACAGATAAGTGTATGACAAAACATTACACACCAGTATATAATACACAGTACACACTAACTTACATTAACATACTACACACCAGGACGCATCATACACTATTTTACAACAACGCACTACACACCAGTGTGTTATAACTTACACAAGTCATGACTCTCATCCTCCCCACCAGCGCAGTCCTTCTCATTGTTACACACCATGCTGCTCCAGATACACGTGTGATCCTTGCAGCGGAACCGACCAGGTGGGCAGGCAATTTCATCTGACGCAGAGAAAGGAACAACAGCTAATCAAGATGATGATGATGATGATGATGATGATGATGATGATGATGATGATGATGATGATGATGATGAAGATGATGAAACTGATGATGTTAATGATGATACAATGACTCTATTCTGAAGATGATAATATTATCATCCCCATAAATTTAAACTGTTATCTCTTTAAAATCAAGGTGAGAGTAGATCACACATTGGATGGAACAGCTAAAAATAGTCACAAAACAAAAAGTATATGGCACAAATGTGTGTGCGCACATATATGTGTGAGTGTGTTTGTGTCTTTCTGTAGGTGTGTGTGTTTGTGTGATTCTGTGTGTGTGTGTGTGTGTGTGTTTGTGTTTCTGAATGTGTGTGTGTGTTTGTGTGTTTGTGAAAGAGAGAGAGAGAGAGAGAGAGAGAGAGAAAGAGAGAGAGAGAGAGAGAGAGAGAGAGAGAGAGAGAGAGAGAGAGAGAGAATGAGAGAGAATGAGAGAGAATGAGAGAGAAAGAGTGCGTTAGTGTATTTGAGTGAGCGTGTGTGTGAGTGTCAGTTTTTCTGTGTGCAAGCATATCATGGTAAAACAATTTCATGAAAAGGATATCCTGGGAAAAAAAGGATGTTTTCTTTTGTACATTATATAATTCTGACAGTGAGATATCATTTTAATTAGAACATGTGATAGTGACATGAATTGTCATTGTCATTTTGTATTGAGCATGCAACATTCATCAAGTCAACATTGCTACCTACCGCATCTTTCCTCGTCGCTGTTATCCCCGCAGTCATTGTCACTGTCACATCGGAACTGCTTTGGCACACAGACAGAGTTGCTGCACTTGAACTCCAGATGGGAGCACTCACGGTCTGGTGGTGGAGTGTGGTGAGGTGGGGTGATGTGGGATGGGGTGGGATGGGATGGAGTAGCAGGGGGAGGGGGGGTAAAAGAAAAACATAACATTTCGCTTTAGTTTAAGACATATACAAGTACATGCAAACTTCTGCTACATGTGTATTACAAGCACATTTCACTTCTTCAGTTTTGACTATCACAAAACCCTCCATATTTTCTGTCGTTTTTCTTTGTGTTTGTTTGGGGGTTTTTGGGGGTTTTTTGCTTGCTTCCATACTTATTCATTTCTTATGGTGTCAGGCTAATAAATTTCGCATATTTTCCTTACGCATCTTTTGATAAATGCCTGTAGCTTTTTAGAAGTTTGTGCACTCTGGGTGATTGGTATGGGCTTTGGTGTGGTTTGCTCCTTCTTTCCTATAAAAGAACTATCATCCCTATCTCTCCTTCTTTTCTTTGTGTGCTACTCTCTAATAACAACACCTCTAATATTCAGCATTTATGTGGCCAAGATGTGTAGTAAATGCCATGGAATTCTTCCTTAAACTAAAAACTGAAACAATTTGCAAGAGTTGAGGGGAGGATTATGAGTGTAACTTACTAGGACAGGTCCACTCGTCCGTGCCATCCTCACAGTCAATCTCTCCGTCACACTTCCAGGTCAGAGAGATGCACTCAGCCGGTCGCTGGCACTGGAACTCTGTCGCATTGTCGCATTTCAGATCTGAGGGGAAAGAGAGGATCGTTACAGGTAAAAGAAACACACTGACACCATAACAATTATTTAGTTTGTTTGGTCCAGGAAAGAGAAGCACACTGACACGATAACAGTTATTTACTTTCTTTGTTCCGGTAAATAGAAGTACAACTGACATGAAAGCAGTCATTTACTTTGTTTGTTCTTTTGTTCACAGATAAAGAGAAGTACATTTGACCTGAAAACAATAATTTTTTGTTTGTTTGTTAGTTTGTTTGGTTTGGTTTGTTGGGTATAGAGAAACACATGGACACGAATTTGAAAAGAAGTGAACAGGAAAAGCAAGAAGACAGACAGAAAAGTAAGATCTATCAGTAGCACCCTGCAACCACCATAAAAACAGAAATGAAGACAACAAAACAACCAAAAAGTGACTTATAACAGTAAACTTCCTATAGAAATTACCTTAGAAAATACTTTTTTAAAAGAAATGACTACATTAAACAAAACAAAGTGAGCAAACCACAACAGAACGACCCAGAGGAAATACATCACAGAGAGAAAAGCGTTTCAGTATTAGTCTTCAGTACGAGTTTTACAGTACTTGCACCACAAATATATCATTTATGTGCCAAAGATAAGAGGTGTTACATGAGGGTAACAAACAAAGGAAAGAAGGAAGCAAGATAGTTTTAGTAAGCGTTTTACGGCACTTGCAACACAATAAGGTCATATAAGTGCCAAAGATTAGAGGTGTTACAAAAGAGTAACAAACACAAAAAAGAAGGTGGGGGAGATATGGACGATACCTGTTTGATAGGAAAGAAAGAGCAAACCACACCAGAGCGCCCACCAACCGCCCACCCACACACAGAATACAAAAACCAATCACAAGGCACGTGGCCAATAGACAAGCTGACCACACTAAAACAAACATCACTAAAAAAAATCCCAAGATACACATACCGCAACTGGTTTCATCATTTCCATCGGGACAGTCAGTCACGCCATTGCAGGCCAGTGACTTAGGAATACAGCGTCCGTTGGTGCACTTGAACTCATTGTCATAACACTCGCGAACACCTGACAGAGTAAAACAACAGCGCCATTAACTACTGTACACAATGGAGGTGGTGTGTGTGTGTGTGTGTGTGTGTGTGTGTGTGTGTGTGTGTGTGTGGGTGGGTGGGTGGGTGGGGGTGGGGGTGTTGTGTCTGTGTCCACACATACTTTTAAAAAATCACTTTTGCCCAACGTTCCAATGCAGTAGCGTCCCTTTTAACATTTCGCCACTGACTTGCATTTTCCCACTTCTTTCAAAATCATGAAAAATTTGCCCATTTCTTTCAAAATCATGAAAATTATGAATTTAAGTCAGATATTTTTTTAAAAACTTATACAATACTTTGTTACAACTGGACATACATAAAGGAACGAAAAGGTGAAAGAACGGGTCCCAGAGAAATTTAAAATAGATTATTTGACCATAAGGACAAAAGTGAAGAGTTCTTTTCGTTGGCACCAGATAGCAAATCTCCAAGTCTGGACAGCATAATTTTAACCCCGTATACGCTAGAATTTCAATCTTTAATGCGTAAGTCCAGCTACAGTGGAACATGATATAGTGATTTAAACGACAATAAATTTATCCACTCCATAGACTGAGACAATTTAAGAGGCAAAGAAGCAGTGAGAGAACAGACAACAGGAAAATATGAGCTTTTAATAGTGGTAAAAGTGTTACGTCACTTGCAACACAAATAGGTCATACAACAGAAGCTTAAGAGGTATTTCAAACGATTAACACACATAGAAAAGACAGAAGAGAGACAAGGACAATAGATGTTTGGTGGGGAAAAAAAGAGCAAACTACACCAGAGCACTCGCCAACCACCCTAGAAAATTTTACAATGACAGAAGAAATGTAGAAACACTAGGTAAAAAGAGGTGATAGTCAGACTAGACATGTAACAGATGAGAGAGGACTGACCACAGCCCTGTTCGTCCGAGTGGTCCTGGCAGTCATCGTAATTGTCGCAGCGCCATCGACCAGGGATGCAGTGACCATTAAGGCAGCGGAAGTTGGAGGGGTTGCAAGTCTGAGTACCTGGGGGTGGAGGAAGAAACAGCCAAGTTAGGGATAACGCCATTGCTCTAGGAAAACTAAAGTGAAAGTATAACATCATAATGTGAAGGTAGATTCTCAAAATACAGAAAACTAATAACCCCCTCCACCATCCACCCACCTCAATTCATGTTGGAAGAAGAGAGAGAGAGAGAGAGAGAGAGAGAGAGAGAGAGAGAGAGAGAGAGAGAGAGAGAGAGAGAGAGAGAGAGAGAGAGAGAGAGAGATGGAGATGGAGATGGAGGAGAGAGAGAAATGGAGGAGGGAGAGACAGTATGAGAGAGAGAGAGAGACAGTAAGAGAGAGAGAGAGAGAGAGAGAGAGAGAGAGAGAGAGAGAGAGAGAGAGAGAGGTAGATAAATAATATGGGGGGAGGGGTGTAGCCCAAACAAGTCCAGTGCTCTTTAGAGATGTCTTGCACAAGGGCAAAGAATGTAATGCAAGTTTTTTGTATATTGTTTTTGTGTACAGAGTGCATGCATGCATATGCTGGCACTGGTGCAAATCTCTCTAAATAGGTATTTTATATAAGAGAATGATAAAGTCTGATTGTGTGTCTGTTGATGCATATGCATATAGATCTGTATGTCCGAGTGCTGAAACACAATTTTTCTTAAGTTTTTGTGAGATTTTAACAGCAATTGCAACATAAATAGGTAATGTAAGAGCCAAAGCTTAGCGGGGTTACTACTAGTGAGTAACATACAAAGCAGAAAAGGAGGAAAGATCAGGGTGATTGATCTCTGATAGGACAGAACGAGCAAGCTGCAACACAGAACCCACCAACCACCCCCAAAGACGTTTGAAAAGGTGTGTGTATTTGTGTGTGTGTGCGTGTGTGTGTTGGCGTATATGCATGTAGATGAGCATATGTGAGTGTTGACGTACAAAACGACATTTGTGGGTCCACATATATGTGTACGTTACTCACTGCAAATGTCCTGAGCCTCATCAGAGTCATCATCATCACCACAGTCCTGATCCCCGTCACACTTCCATGGCTGTCGAAGAAAGTTTTTGTTTAGTTTTAGTAAAAGTTTACGGCATTTGCAACACAAATAGGTCATACAAGTGCCAAAAATTAGAGGTGTTACTGGAGAGTAATACACAAAAACAAGAGAAGGGATAGGATAATAGACGTCTGATATAAAAGAAGGAGCAAACCACACCAGAGCACCCGCCAACCACCCTCTGTATATTGAGAAAAGAAAATAACATATAGTGCAAGGAAAGGGTAAGACAAATACATAGAAAAAAAACAAAAAAGAAAGGAAAGAAGTAGAACCCAGCAGTGGCAGCCTTCAACCACCCACCAACAGCAGATGTAAGGAGAAAGACAACGTTAGACCAAACGGTAGATATGACCTTTAGACGGCTGGGCACTGGGGTGTGTCCTCATATATTTTAGTAAGCCCAATTCAAAAACAGAAAGCTGCAAGGTGGTGACCACCAATAGCGTTTTTGCAAGATAACACTGGAGCAATTTTGTGTATTACGTGATGTTTATGAATTATTGTATGTACATATTGTATTTGCCTTTATTTAGTATGAGATAAATAAAAGGAGAGACAAAGAGAGACAGACAGCATAAAAATTCCCAGCAGAGGTTTATTTTTAGAAAAGTTTAGGTTTTGTAAGGGTTTTACAGCACTTACAACACAATAAGGTCATATAAGTGCCTAAAATTAAAGGTATTTCAAGAGAGTAATAATCCTTTTAGAAAATAGATGAGAGATCTGGACAACAGACATCTGATGGAAAAGAAAGAGTAAACCAAACTCGAGCCCCTGCAAACCACCGGCACAGCAAAGGAATTCAAATGAAAACCCTTTATGAACTAGAGCAAACATGAGTGTAAACATCTAGAGATACAAGGAGATTCCTGGTAGACCCTCCAGCCAGCTTACCTCTGGGATACACTTGCCGGTTCCCTTACACTTGAAGTGACCCTCCTTGCAAGTGACCGACTTGCAGTCAGCTGGCTCGTCACTGTTGTCCCCACAGTCGTTGTCATTGTCGCATTTCCACACATAAGGCACACACTTGCCGTTGGTGCAGTTAAACATACTCTCAGGACAAGAATTGTTCTCTGGAAGGAAAACAACAGCTGATGTCAGAAAAACTTACAATCCCATGATATAGCAAGTCTTCAACAATGATCAGTGAGGTCATGTTTGTTTTAGTAAAAGTTTTACAGCAACAACACAAATAGGTCGTATAAGTGCTGAAGGTGAGAGATACTACAAGAGAGTAGTAAACATAGAAAAGGAAGAGGAGAGATAAAACTGACATATTTTTTATTGGAAAGAAGGGGCAAACCACAGCACCTGCCACTAACTATCAACCTATTGAGGTCAATGAGCTGGGAGAGAGCATTCACCATTGGTACGAGCCACAAAACTCTGAACTTCCAATGTTTTTAAGCTTCAAAAACCCTCTGATGATTTTTATACTTTACATAGCAAGACAACCATATTTTAAACAACATCTATTTACATTCCAGCTGTCAGACTGATACAAGAATGCCAATCAGTCATGAGATAAAAGTATTCATGTTTCACCATCAGTTCCAAGAAAATCAATTTTTTCCCCCTTCTCCAGTAAAAAGTACGTTTTCTGATTTAAGTGGTTTGTGCTTGAAGTCATTGATATGATAGTTAGTAAAGCCTCATTCAATTCTCCCAAATTATGCACAAACTCAGACATAATATGATGAGTCTAACTCTTTGTCACTGACTATATTTCCAGTTTGTGAATGACTGCAAATGAAAAGAGGCAAATCATTACTATTTTCTATGACTACAATAACTGATACTCCGAATTTCTCAACATTCACTAGTCACACCTTCATTTCCATTCACATGTAGTAAACACATACTTCTTAAACAGTTACATGTCTTTAGATGTGCATGTACCTGACACACAATAAAAGCATCTCCAAGCAGTACCAAAAAGACATTTGACTAAGTGCTTTGAGGGTCTGTTAAAACAATGAGGGTCTATCTCAGAAAACAGATCTAGTTTCAGACCCATCAGTCTCTCCTTGTGGACAAAATCTATACCTGCGCTTTTGACTCCAAAAAAATTTAATTAAAATTAATAAGTCCCATCACTTCCAGCTTTGTTCCCAGCATTTAAAATGGAAACCACCAGCAAAAAGTGAAAGGTTAACCCTTTGAGCCCTAGCCACCTGTACGGTACACCAGTGGCACGTAAAATTGCCCCTACGCCTAGCCACTGGTACACCGGTAAGCGAGACCCTATTCCCAACCAGGACCATCGGGACTATACAGCACGTTATTGATTATTTTGAAGATCTTTCTGAACTAAATGCTGGTAATTACAAGGACTACCTTGAGTAGGATACGGAAAGTGATTCCAACGATCATAGGAATGTTAGTAATATATTTTGGTAAGGAGCTCAGGCATAGGGGCACGGTAGTCTCAGGAGATCAGGCAAAAAACTTATGAAGGATAGGCCTGTAGGAACAGAAAATGCTTAAGATGTCTTTTGAAGCTATCAAGGGTTCTTGTTTGTCTTAGTTCCTTGGGTAATCTGTTCAACATAAATGGACCAAAACAGGAGAAAGTTCTCTCTCCATATGTTATGTATGATTTTACAGAAGTCACAAGTAGGGAGTTATCGTTTGATAATCAATTATATTAAATTCGTAGAAATCACATGTCATAATCCAACGAAATGGTGAAAAAATGCACAGAGCTGTTTCAGCAACCTGTTAGGCGCTTGAACACAACACTTATCATCAGTCCAACCTATCACATTGGGCCTGGAAAAAAACTACCAGCCAAACCTAAACTAAGGCAGGTAGAAAACACAAAGTGGAAATAACTGAAAAAGGACCAAGTCTCTGACAACCTAAAGAAGCCTGTCATTTTAAGTAAGAGTTTAACATCACTTGCAATGCATTCAGGTTATTTAAGTGCTGAAGATTTGAGGTGTTACTAGAGTGTAACATACAAAATAATAAAGGAGGAGGGTGATGGAATATAGATGTCAGATAGAAAAGAAGGAGCAACCCACACCAGAGCATCTGCCAACCACCCACAAGCTGTGTCAAGTGCTGAGGTCAGCAAGTCTTACCACAGTTGAGTTCATCTTCGTGGTCGGAGCAGTGGGGAACCCCGTCACAGAACTGGGACTTGGGGATACATTTGTTGTCCGCACGACACTTGACAAAGTGCTCCATGCATGTGTACGTAGCTGTGGGTGAGTTTTAGTTTTAGTTTTAATAAAAGTATTACGCCACTTACAACACAATAAGGTTATACAAGTGCCGAAGAATAGATGTGTTACTAGAGAGTAACAAACACACAAAAAAAGGAGAGATAAGGACGATAGAAGTTTGATAGGAAAAAAGGAGCAAACCACACCAGAGCACCTGCCAACCACCCACCTGGGTGAGCCAACACAGGAGATCTCATAGCAACCCTCAATGGGAAACATATATGTGCTCTCTCTCTCTCTCTCTCTCTCTCTCTCTCTCTCTCTCTCTCTCACATACACACCATACACACACACAAGCACACCACATGCACGTACACACCCATAAACTAGGAGCTACATCTGTCCTCTTTTCATTCCAGTTTCCTTCCCCTCCATGCTCACTTACACACAAAGACACAGAGAAACACAGGTCTGAGTGACATATGCCCGAGTGACACATGCACACACATACGCGCACCACATACACATACACACACACACACTCACACACAACACACACACACACACACACACACACACACCCACACACACACACACACAAACACATACTTTTCTCCTTGACAACAGATCATCGTCTTAAACAACTTCAACAGTACTTGCATTTACGTAAGACACCTACAGCTGTGTTCACATAGAAGTAGACACTATAAAATCGATCTACATCATACCTCCCACATGACTGTACAAAAAAATACACCTCCCCTTCCTATCAACTCACAGCAGTTGCTTTCATCCGAGCCATCCTGACACTGAGCAACTCCGTCACAGATCCGTAGGGGCAGCAGACAGTCCTTGGCAGAAGTGGCACTGGCACACTGGAACATGCCGTGATGGGCACAGTAATAGGGTCCTGGAGGCAGACAGAGACAAGAAATGTGCAGGTGTGAGGTGTGTGCATGAGCAAGTGACAACAGTGAATGTGTGTGTGTGTGTTTGTGCGTTTGTGTGCGTGTGTGTGTGTGTGTGTGTGTGTGTGTGTGTGTGTGTGCACATGTGTGGGTATA